AGCTTTCATACTTATTGACTCCCAGGGTCCCTTCTGAAGCATGTATTAATATGGGGAAACTAAGGAAGACGAGAAAGCTCAGTTGAGGAAGGTTAGATAACCTAGTCAAGATCTCATGAGACCTAAGTGGATAGACCAGACCAGAGGCCTTCTCCTAGATACAGGCAAGAAACCATTGTGGACTCTTCAAGAAAAATGATGCCAAAATTACATCCTTTATTTTTAAAAAGGAGATTCTGGCAAAACAGGAGAGGGCCAAATTTATATCCCAAAGTCTTTTATGCCACTTCTACCTAATCTTTTCTCCCATCACAATTGCAAATTATGGTTGGTGAAGTAAGATGTATCAGAGAGTAAGAGATCCATTTTTAAAAGCTTATGGTTTACACGGATCAAACCCACACCCCCTGCAGTGGAAGCCTGGAGTCTTAACCACTGGACCACCAGGGAAGTCCCTGTTTTTCTTTAATTAACAATAATCTTTTGACCTTCCTACAACCTGGTTTCTTGCAAAAACTCCTATGTATCCTGGCTCCTCCCTTGCCTCTTCAGGGCAGTCCCTCAGAGTCATCTGAGAGGCTGTCTTCTAGCCTTAAGTCCTCAGCAAGTCCGTCAAATAAAACGTAATTCTCAACTTAAAAAAAAAAAAAAAAGCTTATGGTTTAAATAATAACTTCTATCTTTTTAAAGTCTTTTTGGACAGATTTCAGGTAACATGAAAATTAGTTTTTCTTCATCTGATCTATAAGCATTTTCCTCAGATGATGAAGTTCTTTCTTCATGGTCAAGACTATCTCACATTTTTTGGCACTTCACATCAACTAGCACATCATAAACATGGCAAGCAAGATAATTCTTGTTTGACATGATCAGCAATTCTACTCCTAAGTATACACACAAAAGAACTGAAAGCAGGGACTCAAACAGACACTTGTACACCCATGTTCTTAGCAGCATTATTCACAATAGCCAACAGATAGAAACAACCCCAAGTATCCATCAACAGATGAATGAATTTTTTAAAATGTGGTAGACATACAACGAAATATTAGTCAACTATAAAAAGGAATGGAATTCTGTTATTTGACAAAATGGATGAACCTTGAAAACATTATGCTAAGAAAAATAAGCCAGACACAAAAATGACAAATATTTTATGATTCCACTTACATGAGATAGCTAGAGTGGAAAAATTCACAGAGATAGAAAATAGAAGTTGCTAATGGATGGGGGGAAGGGGGGATGAGGAGGTATTATTTAAGAGGTTCAGAGATTATTTGGGATGATGATAAAGTTCTGAAGATGGATACTGGGGATGGTTGCACAATATGGTGAATGTACTTAATGCCACTTCAAAATGGCAAACTTTATGTTAGGCATATTTCACCACACACACACACACACACACACACACACACACACACACAAAGGTATTTGAAATGTGGGATGGCCAAAGGGAACCATCCTATAGAATTGAGAATATATGAAAAGGAGAGAGAAGATGGTAACTGGTGTAACCATAGGTCAACCACTCATTGATTCAATAAACATACACTACTAAGTACCACCTATCTGCCAGGTACTATACTAAGCCTTGAGGATGTAAAATGAATACAACAGACTCCAACATTGTTCCCAGGGACCTCAAGAGTCTAATAGGGCACACAGAAAAGTAAAGAGACAATTACAACAACACCACAACTGGTAATTACTGTGATAGGGATATATTCAAGGTGCGAGGGAACTCATAAAAATTTAATATGAGGGTGGAGGGCATAAAGGATACCTGAAAGAAGTAAACTCCATGCTGCAACTAAAAGAATGTTCTTAAGAGGGCAACAGAGTATTCCAGAATCAGTAACAGCATATTTTAAAACCTAGAGTACTCAGAAGACACGCTGTGTTTGGGGAACTGAAAAGAAGTTCAGGGAGACTGGAAATGGAATGTGAGAGAAGGGTAAATGGCAAGAGAGGTGGCAGAGGAAGAGAGCCAAAAACTTAGAGAATCACTCTGTGAACTGGAATGAGAGGATGAAAAAGGTGGCCAGAAAAGTGGAAAGCCAAGGGAAGCTGGTTTCAAGGAGAAGGCCTGGGCCCAGAATATGGTATTATCTTGGCAAATGTTCCATGTGTATTTTACTGTTGAGCGTAATATTCTATAAATGTCAATTAAATCAGGTTGGTTGATGATGTTCAAAGTCTTCTATATCCTTAATGCTTTTCTCTCTGCTTATCAATTGAGAAAGAGGTAGTAAAATCTAACTATAAATATGAATTATTTTTCTTTGCAATTCTATCAGTTTTTACTTCATGTATTTTGAGGCTCTGATATCAGTGTATAAACATTTATAACTGCTATGTCCTCCTGATTAATTGGTCCCTTTTTATCATTATGAAATGAACTTCTTCATTACTGGCAATATTCTTTGCTCTCAAATCTACTTTGGTAGATATTAATATAGGCTGGACACCTACAAACTGAAAAAAAGATGCATGTGAACTGAGACTGGATTCCACTACTAAAATTAAAATCACTAGACTAATGAAAATGGAAACTAGATAATCAAGTGGTAAGAAATGAGTGAGTGGTGGGGAAAGACCACAGAACTGGACTTCCCTGGTGGCGCAGTGGTTAAGAATCCACCTGCCAATGCAGGGGACATGGGTTTGATCCTTGGTCCAGGAAGATCCCACATGCCGTGGAGCAACTAAGCCCACGCACCACAACTACCATGCCTGTGCTCTAGAGCCTGCGAGCCACAACTACTGAGCCTGCGAGCCACAACTACTGAGCCCATGTGTCACAACTACTGAAGCTCACGTGCCCTAGAGCCCACGCACCACAACTACTGAGCCCACGCGCCACAACTACTGAAGCCCACGCACCCTAGGGCCCATGCTCTGAAACAAGAGAAGCTAACGCAATGAGAAGCCCACACACCACAACGAAGAGTAGCCCCTGCTCGCCGTGACTAGAGAAAGCCTGTGTGCAGCAACGAAGACCCAACGCAGCCAGAAAGTTAAAAAAAAAAGAAATAAAATTTAAGAATTAAAAAAAAAAAAGAAAAAGACCAACCACAGGAGTGATAGATGATTTTGTGAAGAAACATCCTCACTAGAGAAATTAATCTGGTTAATGATTCAAAGACTTATTAATTTAAAATTTTCATTTAAAATATTTAAAAATTTTTCATTACTCATAAAAAGAACAGACTTAGAATTCTCACTTTATCTTTTTTCTTGATAAGCCTTATTTTTTATAACTTTTAAAAATAAAAGTAGCATATACACATAATTATATTCTGATCGTATGTGCAGAGTTCAGAGTTATCACAAAATAACGATAAATATGTGATTACCACCAAAGTTAAGAAAAATACCATTGATACCCCACCAGAAGTTCCCCTCATACCATTTTACAATTGCTACCCTTCCTTCCTTCCCAAAGATAACCATGACTCTGAATTCTAAAGGTCCTGATTAATTTTTTTGTTTTTGAACTTCAAGTAAATTGAAGCATACAATATGTATTTTTTGGCTGGTTTATTTCACTCAACATAGGTTTGTGGAATTCACCTATGCTTATTACTTTAACCGTAGTTATTTCATATTTATTTATATATAGTATCCTAAGATGTGAATATACCACACTTTATCCATTTTACTATCAATGAGCATTTAGGAGATTTTCACTTTGGGGCTATTGAAAGCAATGCAGCTCTGAATAGCTTTGTACATGCCCTTTGGTGCACAAATACACACATTTCTGTTGAGAACACATTCAGGAACGGAATTCTTAAGTTACAGGGTATACATATGTTAACTTTAGAAGACACTGCTAAGTAGTTTTCCAAAATGATTTAACAATTTATAGTCCCATCAGAAATGGGATTGATCCACATCATTGTAAGATCTTGGTATTAGTGTTATTTTAATATTTAGCCATTATTACAATGTGTAGGATATTATATTGAGGTTGCATTTCCCTGATGAATAATGTTGAGCGTCTTCTAGTATTTTTATTGGCCATGTGGATATCTTCTTTTGTGAAGAGCTTACTCAATCCTCTCATGAATTTTTCTGTTGGATTATCTGCCTCATTTTTATTCATTGGTAGAAGGTTTCTGTATATATTGGACAAGAAACTTTTGACTATTATTTATGTTGAAAATATCTTATCCACAGACAATAAGCCAACCTAATGAAGTAGTTCTAAGAGACTCTAGGCTACAGGCACTTGTGCCAATAAATGACTGAACTTTATGTTCCCTCTACCAAAACTTTGGCCACTATGAGAATACCCTATGGCTTTCTCACCAACAACTGCCTTTAACTCAAAATGGAAGTTTAAGTCCTCATTTTCAATAAGTGGTCCTATATCCAAAGATAACCTAAGTCTCTGGGCTTAACCACTTGTCTCCTACACCAAAAAAATGGAAGCAAAATGAACAAGAAAACATCTTTCTGATTCCTTTGGATCCCAGAGGGCAGCACCGCTGAGTTTCATTTACATTGGCGGTTATTGGCTTTTGTGAGAGCTGAACTCTTCTGGTAACCTGACGAAAGCTAGGAATGTTCTCTCCTGGAATATCTCATATACCCAACCTTTTGTATATGATTTCAGGGGCTTATAAACCATGGAAGCCTAAGTTAAGAATTTTTAAATTTATACCCTTTAAAGTACGGAAATAAGAAAAATATATATCAAGTCTCCAATCCAGTCACCTTTTATCAAGGCAAGCTCTCTGGACACTTGATTAAATGCCATCATGTGTTAACAATTCACCATACTTGCTTTGTACATCCTGATCTGAAAAATGGCATCCCCAGGAAGCCTGAATTGTCAAGGCCATCCTCTTAACAACTCTGGAATCAAAGTCTCTGCTGACTTTGCTATCCATGGTATTTACCTGTGGTTCAAGTTAAGGCCTGTTCCAGGTGAGCCAAGCCATAGCCAACCCACTGCTGAATGATGAGGGACTTGCTGGTTCAACCCTTACCTGTTGCTATGCTTGGACTTTTCTCGGTCCTTCTCCTTGTCCTTCTTGTGTTCTTTGTGCCGGTGTTCTCGATCTTTATGTTTATCTTTGTGTTTATGAGAATCTGTAACCATAAGAGATGAGTCAGTAAAGAGCAGTCATGAGCTATCTCCTGCCCACCTACCTTGACAAGCTGGTCAAGAAGCACAATGACAGGATTTAAATGGCATGGTAGCCATAACAGCACATTCCATTGGAGGGAAAGATTTCACAAAGCAGCCCAGACAAGGCATCCCATTACCCTGCCTCTAAAACCAAGATGTGTTACAAATAAGCAGGAAGGGGAGGGGAGTCAATTCTACCATAAAAGGAAGCAACAGTTTGGTATTCTTCTCGTAGATCAGGTACTATGAAGACTAAGCCATAAATGATTCGAAGGGATAAATCTTGAACACTGACTTTCAAGATCAGATGGTTATCTATGTAACTTCTGGAAAATTCAAACCTTAAGAGATACCTGTTTTTTAAATCAACTTTAATGAAGTATAATTTCTACACAGTAAGATATACAATTTCAAAGATAAAGTGTGATAAGTCTAGCAAACATATGCACAGATATAATCCCCACCACAATCAAAATTTAGAATAATTCCATCATCCCCAGAAGTCTCCCTGTGCCCATTCCCAGTCAATCCCCATTTTCCATCACCAGCCCAAAGCAACCACTGATCTGCTAGCACAATGAATTAGATTTGTCTACATTTCTAGTTTCATATGAATGAAATTACAGAATTTACTCTTTTGTGTCTGACTTCTTATGCTTAGCAAAATTTTTTTTACATTCAACCATGTTGCTGGATGTATCAGTAATTGGTTAGATTTTTATTAGAATGGTATCCCATTGTGTGGATACACTGCAATTTATTTATCCAATCACCTGTTGATGGACATTTGAGTTCTTTTCAGGCATTGGTTTTTACGAATAAATCTGTTACGAACTTTCATATACAAGTCTTTGTGTAGATGTGTTTTCATTTCTCTTGGGTACATACTTAATAGTGAAGTTATAGGGTCATACGGTAAGTATATGTTTAACCTGATAGGAAACTGCCAAACTGTATTCCCAAGTGATTGTATCATTACACATTCCCACCAACAATGGATTAGAGTTCCAACTGCTACAAATTCTCACCAATACTTAGTATTATCAGTCTCTAATTTTAGCCATTCTAGCAGGTATGTAGTGGTATCTCACTGTGGTGCTTTTTTTTTTTTAATAAATAATTTATTTATTTTTGGCTGCGTTGGGTCTTCATTGCTGTGCGCAGGCTTTCTCTAGTTGCAATGAGCGGGGGCTACTCTTCATTGTGGTGTGCAGGCTTCTCATTGCAGTGGCTTCTCTTGTTGCAGAGCATGGGCTCTAGGCACGCGGGCTTCAGTAGTTGTGGCACGCAGTCCCAGTAGTTGTGGCTCACGGGCTCTAGAGTGCAGGCTCAGTAGTTGTGGTGCACGGGTTTAGTTGTTCTGTGGCATGTGGGATCTTCCTGGGCCAGGGCTCGAACCCGTGTCCCCTGCATCGGCAGGCGGATTCGTAACCACTGCGCCACCAGTGAAGTCCCTCTCACTGTGGTTTTAATCCAGTTTCCCGATTAAATGATGTGCAACTTTTCATGTGCAGATTGGCCACTCATATATCTCCTTCAGTAAAGTATCTCTTCAAATCCTTCCCCCACTTAAAAAAATTTGTCTTATTCCTAAGTTGTAAGAGTTCTTTATACATTATCCATTACAAATTTTTGGTTAGACATGTGTATTGTGAATATTCTTTTTTTCTAGGAGTTTTACAGAGGTAAGGGACAGGGAACATTTTTTTAATCTATAAAGATGTCTAGTTGTTCTAGCACCATTTCTTGAAAAGACTGCCTTTTCTCCATTGAATTGCCTTAGGCCTCTTTACTGGAAATGAAATGACCACATAATCATCGATCTGTTTCTGGACCCCATTTTATCCTACACACACACACACTATCTTGACTACTAAAGCTTCACAGTAGAGCTTTTTTCCATAGTAAGTTTTGATATCAGGTAATACAAGTACTTTAACTTTGTTCTTTTTCAAAATTGTTTTGGCTATTCTGTCTTCTGTATTTCCATATAAATTTTAGATTCAGTTGGTTGATTTCTTTAAAAAAAAAAAAAAAGCCAGCTGGGAGTTTGTGTTCATAGGACAATTTGGAGAGATGTGACATCAAAACATTACTGTGGGGCTTCCCTGGTGGTACAGTGGTTGAGAGTCCGCCTGCCAATGCAGGGTACACGGGTTCGTGCCCCGGTCCAGGAAGATCCCACATGCCGCGGAGCGGCTGGGCCAGCGAGCCATGGCCGCTGAGCCTGTGCGTCCGGAGCCTGTGCTCCGCAACGGGAGAGGCCACGACAGTGAGAGGCCCGTGTACCGCAAAAAAAAAAAAAAAAAAAATACTGTGTCTTTGCATCCACGAACATGGTATCTCTCTCCACTTTTTTAAGTTAGTGACTCTCAAATTTTAGTGTATCAGAATTAACCCAAGGGCATATTAAAAATGCAGCTCACTGGGGACATGTGACCCCAATGTTGAATATGAATCAATTAGAAGTTTATGTATCCAACACATGTGGTAGTTTTAAAATATGTCCAACAGATTCTTTGATACTCTTCCTTTCAAGGTGTGGCCTAATTTCCTTCTCCTTAAATATGGGCTGGACTTAGTGACTCACTCCTAAAAACAGGATAAAGTGGAAATGTCAGTGTGCAATTTCTAACACCAGGTCATAAAAGGCACTGGATCTTTCTCCTTGCCCTGGAGGAATCCAGTTGCCATACTGTTAGGACATCCAAGCAGCCCTATGGAGAGACCCATGTGGTGAGGAACTGAAACTTCCCGACAATAGCTACACGAATGAACCACCTTGGAAGTGGGTCCTCAGTTAAGCCTTCAGATGACCGCAGTCTCAGACTCTGAGCCAAAACCACCCAGCTAAGCTGTTCCTGGATTCCTGGTTCACACAAACTGTGTAAGACAAATGTTTGTTATTTTAAGCCATTAAATTTTGAGATAACATGTTTAATAGCAATAGATAACTAACAATAATGTATAGGCAATGTGTGTGTTCACACTACTCCTGGCTCACAGCAAAAAAAGAAGCCACATTTGGCACAATCCATTAAGTATCTATTCTGTGCCAGGCCCTAGGGAAACAGAAATTTGCATGACCGTACACCTAGCTGTAAGAAATTCTCATCCCACAGAGATGGGAAAATAAAATCATATGGTGTCAGAAATAGGACTTGAACCCAATCTTCCATGTAGCATAAAGAACCCTCCAATTTCTGAAAATCTCAAGTCTACAATTTTAAAATGCTGAGTCAATCTGATACAAAGTTGGTGGCCCCTGTTCACTTGACAATAATTAATACCCTCATTACTTCTATGCCCAACTAGCACTTACGGTTAAAACCACAATAATGACAAAACATGCCACCAGCACTACAACCTGGAATGAAGTCTGTGTTGTTTGATTTTGTTTACAGGCCAGATTTAGCAAACAAGAAACAGAACATTAGGATCTGCTATTATGGCACAAGCATATGGCAGGGACATAATATATTAAAAAAAAAAAAATTACTCTGTGTATAATTCAACAAACACAGAAACATGTCCAAAAAGACTAGAAGATAGACACCAAATGTTAAAAGTAGTTTGGGTGGTAAATTTATAAGCAGTTTGAGTTTCTGTGTGTATACTTTGCCTTGTTTTCCAATTTTTTCCCGATGAGTCACTTTTATAATAAAATAAAGAAGTTATTTTTTAAAATTACCCAGCTTAAAAAATTTATTTTGACAAGTACTGGTGTACACAAGGAAAACATATTATTAGCTCACTAAAAAGCACTAAATTTAAAGAAAAAGAAAACTAAGTAAAAGTTGAAAATAATTCCAGGTAGGTTTTAGATAACCAGTCTGCCCAAAACGTTGTTTTAAGTGCACAAAACCTTAGAATCAAGTTTGAAAGCCAGGTCCCCAATTCTTTCAATTGCTAATCTAAAAACATAAAACCAAAATGTCTGAAACTTAAAGAAACTTAAAGAAAGAAACTTAAAGTTGTAGCTGAAAATCCCACTAGTGCAAGTAATACCAAGGTCAAAGATCTGAAACCCAAGTGCCCCTAATTTTAAAAGTTATTACATGTCTCCTGTATGCTCAAATTGTGCTATGTGTGCTGTGACAGGTACCAAAAAGAATAATATGTGACAACTTCTTCAAATATCTGAATAGCTATAGTATAGTTCCACATGGCAGCCTGGGCCTTCTGAGGAGAAATGACAGGGAGGCAAAATGGAATGAGGCATCTCATGAACACCAAAAGTGTGTAAACAAGCTAAATTACCAACTGACAGGGAAACCACCATAGAGATGATCTGCACTATGTAAACTGATAGATAAATAACCTTTAAAGATGCATACGCAAGTACTTCCAGGTGAAGGATGTCTGCAATTAGCTTTAAAATACTCTCAGGCAAAAAAAAAAAAAAAATTGGAGCAATATGGGAATAGAGAAAACAAGATTGGCAAGAGGTTGATAGTTATTGAAGTAAGCAGATAAGATACGTGGGAGTTCACTATACTACTCTCTACCTAAATATGCTTGAAACTTTTCATAATAGAAAGTTAAACACTACCTTTAAGCTTCGTCCCTTTCAATCTCTTATTTTTTCTTCTTATATAGAGTACAGCAAGGAGAAGACCAGCCTAGTTAAAGAGAGGATTTGTGTTAAGGAGCAGTAAGAGATAAAGTCTGATAGATGAAATTAACCCAAGTCAGGGTGTCCTACTCTCAGGATGACAAGGAGCTACTTCAAGCAGAAAAGGAACAAAATAAAAGCCATACTTAAGGAGGATTAATTGAAGGGCAGTGTGGGTAGAAGGTAAAAGCAAAATAACTAGCTAGTGTTTTTGAAGCAATCTAGAAAAATGTGATAACAAAGGGATTGAGAAGAAAGGAGAAAACATAAAAGCATGTTGAAAAAGAGGAAGTAGAATCCAGTTCCAGGAACTCACTGGTATGTGTAATCAATAAATGCAGGGGA